TATCCATGCGGAATCATATCGGAATTAGATCTTATTTCTACAGAAACATATCAGGAAAAAGGCATATCCGGGGAAAGTCTTTAAAGGTCTTTTTCCATTGAAATATGTACTTTAGTTTCAGAAACACCTTGAAAATTAGGCAATCATTGAAAAAGATCTGTTGCGATGTTTCTCAATCAAGTATCTGAATTGCATGGAGTTTTTCAGAGTCACATAGCCATATGAATAGAAAATTATGTTTAAAGATGTTTTCCTATAGGAGTAATGATTGGAGTATAACTAGCAAATTCTAAATCAGATACGGAAAAAAAAAACTTTATTTTGTTTCTTTTGTTGGGTTTTCATAGACTTTCATAGACAGATATTGTTTTATATGAAGTTACAGATCGAGAGCCTAGTTAGAAACATATTTTGGTTACCCATTGTCTTCTATGGGGAATGTGGATGCGCAGGTAAGGGGTATGGCACGGGAAGTGGTTGCTTAGGTGTGACTATGTTGCAGTACCTGTAGGTTGGCATTGATGCATTGTCTTATTCCAAAGCCACACCCACTCGCGTCCTTACTCCTCATCATCTGTACAAATATCATTTATTTTATGTATGATAATTTTCGAAGGACGACGAGGGACAGGCAAGGGTTACTTTGATTTGCTATTCGATGCCATTTAATCTATATTCGATTCATGCTCATGTTACTGCTACCTGCCCTACGACTGGAATGAAACTGACTGTGTCGTATGGTCATACATATAGCACAGTGGCCGTTCGTTAGAGAACAGCTCGGCTATTCTGCTTTCTGAAGACCCATAGTATGTTTGCAACTTTTAATGACACAGTGATTTTTAGTCTCTTTTTCGTTTGAATAAATAAAAATTAAGTCTTTTCGAAGATCGCTCATATAGATGACGTGGTGCATGTTTTTTCTTTATTCACACTCGACATCCACAATCACACCCTATATTGTCATCTTGATTAAAAAATAGGGACCTAGACGGCTATCTCATCGAAAATGAGTGTTCGTATCTGAATCTCTCCCAGATGCCCACACTGTTGGGAACTAACCCATAGCTGACTTAAGAGTTCTGCTTCGGGAATTCACGGGAAACTCATCATATCCGACCATTTCCTGTTGTATATGTTTGGTCGGAGAAAAAAAATAAGGAGATGTAAAGAAAGTCGTCGAACACAACGATAAGATTTGTTGTTAAAAGACAGTAGACAATAAATTCATAGATGTCGAAGTTGAGCGATGACCGAGGAGCATCCAGTCACATTTCACTCCTGTATATAAGGGAAGCAACTGAATTCTAAGCTAAGAGTCATTAGACATCATTAAAATTTTACAAAAATCACTTTAATTCCAAAATTATGCGAATAATTGACTGTAGCTGGTTTTACAGTGTCGGAAAATATCAGAAGCAATTAAAAACTATGGGAAATGATCAGAAACCAATGGAGATCACTCTAAATCATAGAAAATCTTCATCAATATAGTTGAAAGTAAAGCCTTGATTTTCACTGAATGCATTTGGTTTTTCTTTACTTTCAATAATTGCCAATACTACTTCTAGTAATTCCTCTTTATTTATTATTTTACATGACTTTCCTTTATTTCTTAGTAATTTTGATCATTCTCGGTGATTCGCGGTGAATAGATGATAAATTATTTCCAGTGATAGAATTATGAATGCAACGGTAGCGGTGAACTATCGAGTGATTCATCGTAGTATCGATCGCACCAGTCTTCGTTCTCCTGATGATATGGTGAACTGGTATCATTAGTGTCCTGCTCGATTTGTAGTAGATTCTTATTAAAACGGCATTTAATTGCTAACCATAACTTGCAGAGTCAATTTTCCGGTTAAAAGTGACCTGAAATGTGAAAGTAACGTTCTTTTCGCGAGCTTTTATTAAAGATTTTTGACGTGCGTCTAACGATGTGGATGGTGAAACCATGAAAAACCTATAGTAATTGCCGACGTGTTAGCACAATTGTCTTCTATTAGCAGAAAGACATACGAATAATGGGGAAAAATGGTCATCACCTTAGGTCCCTGATGCGCTAACTCGCTTCATCGATTTTAACCCTGACGCCTGAAACTCTAACTTAGATTATTGACTTGGAATCGATCAGTATTATTTGAAATTGAGTGGATCACCATTTCAATTAGTTCGAATTGGAATTGAATAAAGGCCGAACGTTACCTATTCGTTGACAGTTATTGGGTAAGAAAAATTGTTGCATCTCATTCCTTTATTTTGGTAAGACTATAATATGGAAGTAGTGATTTTTTTATAGTTTGACCAAATTAGCTGTGGTTGAAGAAACTGAATTTGTAACCATTTTTTCCAAATTGTGTAGTAGCTTCTTTCATTAAAAATGAAAAAGGTTTTGGAGAAAATGGAGATCTTTTTATAAACCTTGATCGCAGATATTCAGAATCAAAGAATCTGATTCTTTAATCAGCTTCTCGAAATTCTATACTTCCCTTCACAGGCATGTTCTCTACTCTGAATACTTTTGGTCAACCTTTACAAAAGAAATCGATATTTTCCGTCACTCGGAGTTGCTAAAGGAATTATTTATGTTACGATAACTTCGTATTTTTCACGGATTTCAACTCCAATTAGGTCGAAATTGAAGTTAGTGTATCTCTAGTGTGTCAACGTAGTACATTTGGACCAACGGTACCGTTACCGTTGGATCCTTAGATAGAACTCATCACTAACCGAAAAAATCATTCGAAATTGAAGAAATCAAGAAATTCGTTTGTTATCCTTCGCTCATGCATAGAGCTATTTACATCATCTGCTTCATGAATTACTTGACATAATATTAAATATCAATGTAAAATCGTAATATTGGATTATCATGAAAATAAAGGTCTCAGGACTTATCATTAATTTCCTATTCATTTTGTGATAAAATCACCAGAAACTATATTAGAAACTGATACTCTTGTTTTTGTTTTTGCATATCCAAAATTCTGAGAAATTGACATGAATACATGAGTAATGGTTTTCATTGATCTCATGTGATTTCAGATGATTTCGGGTTATTTCAAGTGATTTCAAATGGCTTCAACTTGATTTCAGCTATTGAAATCAGTTTGTTCCCCCTTGAATTAATTACAAAACAAAAACAAAAAAACAAAAGTCAATCAATCAAATATAAAAAATCTAATTTCCCAATCGATTTTGAACTTAAACGAAAAACATAACTAAAAATATAAAAATATCTATTATAAATAAAGTTTATGGAAAAAATAATTTAAGAATGAAGAATTTAATTAAGTTAAAAATTGATTTATTATAAATATATATTGAATGATATTATCTTCGATTTTCTTTCTGAACGAAATAAATATAAGAAAAGATCATAAATAGATTTTTAAATAGTTTTTTTTAGAATTCAAAATAAAATATCAACAATTAAATATTTCATTGTTTCATGTTAATTATTTGATCATTTGGTTTTAGTATAACTATACAAGAAAATAAATTGAAAGAGAGATAATAACAACAAATTTAATTATTTAATTTAATAATGACTAATATATCATTTTATTTATTATTTACTCAATTTAACTTATATGTCAATTAAATGTTTAAGGTTTTTCTAATGTAACTCATTTTTATCATTTTTCTTAATAATCATCAAATAAAAACTATTCTTTTTCATTTTATTTCTTATTCTCTTGAAACTTTCGCTTTTGTAACAAAACAAAAAAAAAAAAAGAAATCTTAAACGTATAGAATGTTATTAAAACTAAGACAAATTTAATCAATAAAGTTTATCGAAATAGATATTATTTTCGATTTAGAAATTATTTTTAAAAAAAAATCTCATCAAAAACTCTGGCGATTCGTGCATTATTAAAATTTACTCTCATCAAGACAAGTTCATCAACTGATTTAATTGCTTTCGATTTGAGATAATCTGCATAGTATTGACTGAAATCATCTGGGAATATTATGAAAAGAGTTTCTACGATTTTTTTTTTCCCTAAAAACACATATTCCAGTTTTGATCGCGTATTTCAAATAAATTTCGTCGTTCTTCATGAGAAACATAAATCAAACTGATTTTCAAATTTTGACTTTAAGTCTTTTCGTTAACGAAAATAGTTTATTGTCAAAATTTGCCATAGTTCCATGTCAAAAAAGATTTAACATTCTTATGTTCTAGATTAGAAGAAAATGAAAATATCTGAAATTTTTTCAAAAAACTCTTCTTTATAAAATATTTTTTTATGAAAATTTTCAATTCATTATTGTAAAGTTAATTTTCGTGATGTTTTTTATTGAGACAATCGAATTTACTTTAAAAATATTGTAAATATGATAATTGTTCTTATCAAAATATAATTTTTGTTTTTTATCTGATTTTCTTCATTAAGTGTTAATCTATTCTTATTTCATTTTTTTTTTTTTTGGTAAGACTATAGAGATAATGTTTGTCTACGTCAATTTTTTGTTGTTCTTTTTCTTGATCCTATTGTGATAAATCACATTAGTACGAAATGCATATATTTTTGACAATGTTTCGATATTATTTTATTATAACTAGAAACAATATTTAATTCTCTTTTGTTTTATATAAGAACAAATATTAGTTTATAAAAAAAAAAAACAATACAAAACCTATCATTATAGATACGAGTCAACTAAAGTTTTTGCCGATAATTTAATTGATTTGTACACAGACTCAAAAATGAATTCCGTGCAGAAATACAATGAACAGATTGAAATTGATTTCGATTAATATAAATGATCATAAGATGAACATTAATGAATAAATCAATTCAATTTATTCCCCCGTTTATGTCAAATAAAGATTTGATAGTTTTCTATCATTTATTTATGAAATTGAAGATGAAAATGCGAAGATTTGTTAATTTATTAAGTCATAGATAAAATATAACAAAGAAGAAAAAGAAAAAGAAAAAGAAAAAGAAAAAGAAAAAGAAAAAGGAAAAGAAAAAAAAAATAATAACAATTTATAAAGTGCGAATACGGAAAGGATGAGCCTCAGTATTAAAGACATATGTATCTAAAGAAATGAAAGAATCATCCGAATAAATTAATAAAAGATATTTTAATGTTTCAGCAATAAAAAAACTTTGTTGTACATCATCATGAGTAACTGATGCTGAATAAACATCTCTTATACCGGAATAACCACCATCAAGTCGACAATATTTTTCAAGACTCTAAATAAATTCAAATATTGAATTTTAAAAAAAAAACCAACAAGAAAAAGATCTAAAAGTAAAACATACAATAATAGCATCCCAAGCCCAATCTCGATATATTTGATCATGTGTACTTCTCCATAAATAAAACCATGTTTCAATAACTTCAGGTCTTAATATATAATATTTTTCATTATCTCGTAATGATTTTGCTTCAACATCAACTCTTTCAAAATGAAATGTTTCTGGACCAAGACCAGTTGCTAAAAACAAAAACAAAAGTGAACTTTATAAATAATATTTAATTTAAAATAAAATTGTCTATATAACCTGTTCTTATATAAGATTCTCGACATGTTTTACCAATAGATTGTGCTATTTCCATTTGATTTTTAATTGATGAATTAGATGATACAGCACCAGATAAAGCAGATAATACATAAACACCACCAATAAAACATGCTAAATGACCCATTTGAGGATCTAAACGACCTGAACGTTGTTCACCAAAATACATTAAATTTGTTGTTGGAGTTTTTCTTAACATTGATTCTTCTGCTGCCTTTAATTAAGAAATAAATTTACTTTTATTTTATTTTATTTAAAATAAAACAAAACAAAACTAACTTTCATAGCATCTTCATACATTGAACGAGCTTGTTCATCTTTTTTTCCCGATAAAACCCAACTTTTCAATAAATATTCATAAAAACTATCACCTAATGCACCAACAGATGCTTGTTCTAGAATAGAATTTTAATTTTATGTCTTTTTTTTTATTGTAAATTTAAAAAAAAAAAATTGAAATTTACTTTGACACCATTTTCCAGTTTGGGGATTAATATAATTATAATACATATGATTTTCTGATGCTTCTTTAAGAACTTTTCGTATTTTTTCTACCTAAAAATAAAATAAAAAGAAAAATATTCTTCATCGATTTAAAAATAAATAAAAAATAAAAATAAAAAAAGATTTTGACCTTTTGTAAATAAATATCTTTTCCTGTTAATTGAGATAAATATTGAAATTCAAGATGCATTGTTCCTAATTCCGATAATATTGAACAACCACCAGCAGCCCAATTCCAATTTTTCGAAGCTCCACTTTAAGTTATTTTGATTTATTTTAAATAAAATTCTTAAATAAAACTAACTTTGATAATGTTATTAGAGCATGAGGAATTCCAGTTGGAGTATCAAATGCTGGAAGAAGATGATTTGCTACTAATTCAGCTTTATCAAGATATAACTACAATTATACAACAATTTCTTTTCTTTTTTTTTTATTATCATTTAAATAATTTATCATTTTATTTAATCCAAGATATTTTTTTGTTTAGAAAAAAAAATCATTTTAATAATTTTATTTAACAAATAAAAAAAAAACAAAAACATTTTTTTCTCTATTCTTATATCTGCAATGTGTTTTATTGAAATTTATTTACATAATAAACGATAATTTCCTATAATATTTTCAATCCTAAAAATAGATTTTCAATAGATCAGAATGTCTAAATAAGTTTTTTTCGAAATATCTTGTTGATATTTAATAAGACACAAGAAAACATTATTTGAAAATATATTAGAAATTTTTCTTTTATTTTTTTTGTTTTGTTTTAATATTCTATAATTATCAAATTAACTTTGTTAATTATAAAAATAATCAATTGATATTATCTTCCAAATAGAAATCTTATCTTATCTTATATAATTTCATCAATTTATCTTATCGATCATGTCTCGAAGTTTTCGATTCGTTTTTTAAAAGAATATTTTTTTTTTGTTTTTTTGATCTAGACGAAATTTTCCAATAGAAAAGAAGAATATTTTAAGAAAAAAATTTATCAAAATTTATTGAAGATCTTGATAATATTTCGAAATATACTTTCTATTTAAATGTTTGTCTTGTCTTATCATAGTCAATCAGCTTGTAGTTTGACTTATTCGATAATATAAATAAATCACTAAAAATTCTTCTAATTAAATATATAATATAAACGAAAGGATTTTTTTAATATTTTTATTTTTATCTAAATAATAATCTTACTTTATCATTTGTTAAGGCGTAAATAGAAAGAAAACCACCAACAAGACGAATATTTATTTCAAATACAGAAACTTCACTTGGCTAAAAAAAAAAAAAGTAAATTCGATTAATAAAAAAGTAAAAAGGAAAAAAAATATAATAATTTAACAAACCAGATTTGGATCAAATTTTGTTTCAATCCAATCTCGAGATTTCTGATAAAATTCTTTAATATCAGCTAAATAAATCGTATCAATACTATCAATAATTGATATTCCTAATGCACTTGATCCAAATATATTGGCTGAATGACTTGTTTTTGATATAGGACGATGTTCATTAGCACCCCACGCATATTTAGCATAATTTGAATAAGCATGATATATCATCTGTTTTAATCAATAGAAAAAAAAAACAAAAAAAAACCAATAGTTATTATTATTATTATTATTATTATTAAAAAGAATTAAGTTTTTGTTTTGATTAAATATAAATAAATTCGATATTCATATATGACACAAGTGAGCAACAATTCTCTTCTTAATTTATTTTCTTTTTTCAAACGAAAATCAATTTGTTTCATTGTTTTGCAATTTTAGATTAATTTAAGATTAATAATTATGATTATGATAAAACATCAAATTGAATAAAAGACGATTAAAACGATAAAATGATTAAGAAATAGTTGTTAAACAACAAAAGAAAGACTATTGAAGATAAAACAAAACGAATATTTTAAAACGAAACGAAATACGAAAGAAAAACAATTGAGATTATCGAACTTCCAGACTTGTGACATGGATAATTGTGGTTTAGAAGACGTCTTTGATGTCCGGACAACACTCACCTTTATTCGATTATCTCAACTCATATCCGTTCGTATATAAGTGACTGATCGAAAAAAAGGTTTTTCAAACAAGAAAAAAGAAATAAAGAAAAGAAAAAGAACAGTTCACACTAATTGTCTAAATTTATTTAAAAAGCAGCTGGCATATAACCATATGGACCAGCATATATTCCTGCTGCTAATGATGGATCATACATATTTGGTTGTTGATAAGGAGCAAATGCACCTTGTTGTTGATATGCTCCAGTATTTGGATCAAAATAAGGTGTTCCCATTTGTTGTCCAGCAAAACCAAAAAATGGTTGAACTTGATTTGGAACTAATCCAGCTTGTTGAGCAGCACTTAATGGCATTTGTATTGGTGGAAGAATACCAGCAAATTGACCAGCACCGCCTTGTCCTTGCATATATTGTTGCATTTGTAACATAGCTGCTGCTTGAGCTTGCATTGCAGCAGCTGATTGAGGTGGTAATAACATAGCTTGTTGCATTGGATCAGCAGCATAAAGATTTTTATTTTGACCACCATATTTACCATATTTACCCATTTTACCTTGTGGAGCAACTTGTCCATAAGCATCAAAAAAAGGAGAACCACCTGTTAAATATGGTGATGGTGGTGTACCAGCCATTGATGATGGACCATATCCAGATCGAGCACCTTTACCAGATGAATTATATTCATATTTATCTGCCTTTTCAGATTTTTCACGTTTATTTCCAAAGAGACCCATGTCGAATATAGAATATTGTTCTAATATAAATGTTGAAATATATAATCAACAATATATCGAATGTTGAATGTGATGTGAGTGTCGTCCGATATAAATGAATGAATGAATTGAATATTTATCTATACATATAGGTTGACCCATTGAACGGGCAAAGTTACGCTTCAATAAACACATTTCATACGAGAAAAAAAAAAAAACCATACGACACAATATCAAACAATATTTTTCATCTATTGGTTAAAAGGGCGAGAAGAAAGATCTTTAGATTGATGACACAACGCTTTTTTTTCTCTTTTTCGTTTTTTCTTTCTTTTTTTTTGTTGCTTATTTGAATTGAACATTGCGACATTGAAATAAAGATAGTTATTCATCGGTCATCGATAATGATGAATATATGTGATGACAGCCGTAACGTTACCCATCTTTATTCATTCATTAAACAGTGTGTTTAATGGATGTGATATGATCAAACCATTTTAATGAGCACATTTCGTTTGTCACACTTCAACGAACACTCAACTCTTTTCTCAATCATAAACGATTCGAACAAAAGAAAAGAAAAAAAAAAAGAAAAGAAAAGAAAAGAAAAAAACGTTAACTAACCTCTCGAACTTTTTCTCGACGCATATCAACAGATTGAATATTTTTAAGTTCTTCAATAGACATATGACTAAATAATTGTGTTAAATTTTCTGTAGGTAATATTGACTTTTGAGATGATGTTTTATATAATTTTGTTTTTTCACCAATATTATTTGAATTTTCATGATTATTATCATCTAAATTAATTAAATTGGCTTTATTTTCATCAATTTTTTGTTTTAATCTTGATTTATCATCAACTAAATGTAAAGAATGATTATGATCTTGATGAGGCCAATTTATTGGTGGACGAGGTATTGGTGGAACAAATATATCTTTAAAATCTCGATTTTTAAGTACTGATACTGGATCAATAACAACTGTTGGTAAATATCGAACAGCAATTAATGTTAAACCAAGAAAAACTAAAACAACTAAAGCAAGAATTTGCCATGTACGAGAACGTCGTCTTGTTAAATTTGTTTTAAATAGAGGAAGTATCGGTTGAAAATGACCCATTTAATACCATTCAATTTACATAAAAACAATGACGATTATCTAAAACATATTTTTTTCTTTTGTCTTTAATATTTTAGATTTTATTTATTTTATTTGTTCTTTTCTTTTTTAAAATGATTACATTTTGACAATGACAACGAACAAAAAATAAAATAAGATAATCGAAACTTTATTTTAGATAAATAGTTATAGAGATAGAGATAGATGATTTAAATAAATAAATAATTAATGAGAAAGATAGACAGATAGATATCGAGAGACAAAAAAGAGATAAGTTAATTGACGAGACGAACAATATTAAGATAAATAATGTTTTTATATATGTTGATTAATTATCCTTCAATAGGAACTTCATCTAATAAAAGTCGGAAAGAAAATGGAATAAATGGATAACCTTCACCTTTATAAAATTTCGATTGAAATTCAACCCTAAAATTAACAAAAAAAAAAAAAAAAATTTTTGTTTTTTTTTTACAATTATTATTCAAATAAATAAAAGTAAACAAAACAAACCAATGAAGTCGAAGTGCATGAAGAAAAGCTGAAAGTCCTTCCATTAAAAGTAATATAAATACGGTTAAACATGACCACGGCATAAATACTAGAAATGATGCTATGCAACCAATATAACCATTCATTGATAATCCAATATGTAATACCATTTGCCATAATACTTCACTTAATTCTTAATTAGAAGATTTTTTTTTTTTTTTTTTTTTTTTAAAATATTAATTAAAAAAAAAAAAAAAGTCAAATAACGTGCATGAGCTAATGATAACGCCCAAAGACGTAAATATGAAGCTGTATGAGATATACAACCAAGAAAATATTCAATTGTATGAATTCCTTGTTCAACCCATACTTCACTCATTTCAACCTAAAATTTAACAAATTAACAAAAAATAATAACAACAATTATTTATTATTTAGTAGAATATTAATAGAAAGCACTTCAGTTTGATGGTGTTGTTGGTGTAAATGTTCATCATCAAGCATTTCATCAGTATCTGTATCCCGTACATCAACATCAAGCACAATGCCTCTCTAGAAAAATAAGCAGCATTTTATTAGTTATTATCATTCATAGACCTTTTATTATTATTATTATTATTATTATTAATTATTTAAAATTTCTTATTTTAATTTAAAAAAATCTATATAAAAAGCTTCGGATTTGTTTAAAACCTTTTTTGATGAATCATGTTCATGTGTTTGTTCTTCAATATCATGTTCAACATGTTCTGTATGATTTGCTACTGTTGAATACTTTTTTTTTTGTGTTTTATATTTAATTTAAAATAAATTAAAAAAAAAAAAAAAAAAAATGTTTAATGAAAAACTTACATTAGCTCGTCGTTTATTCATGATAATTCTATAAATTGGTTTTCCTAAAAGCATCCATGGTATACAAATAACAGCAAGTATAATAAGAGCTGTTTGAATTCCTTGTTGACCACTATAAAATGTTCTTGAACTTTCAGGTTCCGATGGATATGATAATAATATCATATTTATTAATTCTTTTTTTTTGTTTAAAATAATTTTATTTATATTTTATTTATTTAAAATAAAAATAAAAAAAAACAACTTACGAATAAGTAATGATGGTGCTTGTGTTGAGACACTTCCATCAAAATGTGTCCATTTATAAAATATTAATATTATTAAATAAAAGAAAATACATGATAAAAATATTATTTGAGGAAGAAATTCAAGATATATTGCATAACGATGATTAAAATGTCTATTTAATATCAAATAAATAAATAAATAAATTTAAATAAATTAACTTACAAATGATTCCATAAACTAAGAAAAACTCCAAAACCCATTTGAATAATTCCAATAATAATTGCAAATTTCATTTTAACTGAATTTGTAAATGTTATTTTATTTTCTGATAATTGCCAAATAGGATCAAGACCAAATGGATATGGTGTACCACTAAACATTTGTTGATATTCAGCAGATTTTGTATTATTATATGGAGTTGGTTCTAATTGAACTGTATCAATACCTTGTTTAGTTAATATTTCATCTCTTTAATTATAAAAAAAAATAAATAAATATTATTTTAAAAAAAATAAATAATAATTAATAATAATTACCCAATCCAAACTTCCAAGAAGGTT